TAGAGCACGGGATACTTATTTGGGCGCAATTGGCCAACACATCCAATCGGCCAAACTCTTTGATTGTCCTCTCCATCAGTTCCGCCAATTCCTCGTCATTCAACAAATCTGTCTTCACTTCCAGTACCTTATCGTTGGATAATTGGCGACAACTCTGGGCCACATCTTTTAGTTTCTGTGGGTCTCTGCCTGTGATAACCAATTTGAAGCCCAATTTGGCCAGAGATTGAGCAAACTTTTGGCCCACACCAGCGCTCGCACCTTAATTGGCATATTTTATTAACAATTACTTGTAATACACGCCATATATTAGAGCATAATAAACCTGTGATGAGCGCCACTCTATCACCAAATTTATAGATAAGTCGTTTATTTTTAAACATTTTAACTGTTTTGGATAAAGATCAATTAATTTACTAAATAAGTGAACATAAAACAGACGTAATGTTAAATTCAATTTTATTTACTCATTAAAATATAAAAAACATAATCATATTTTTGTTGGCAAAAAACCATTCCCAAAAAACAAAGCTATTTTTATAACTTTTTCGCGTAGAGAAAAACCTTATTTGTTAATCGCAAAACATTTTATATTTACGCTATTTAAATGTTAATTAATGGTAATTGAGATTATTATTTTTAAAAAAAAAACTATAGTCTAGATCGGGGGCCGACGATTGCCCCGCCATCGATAGGCATAGATATACCGGTTATGAAACTCGACTCATCGGACGCCAAGAACTCAATGGAACGGACGATATCATTGACATAACCGGGTCTTCCCAATGGATACGCGGACTCGCAATACATTTTCACTGTTTCCTCGTCATAGTCTGTCCCGTTAACCATCGGTGTTATCACAATACCCGGTCTGAATGCATTCAAATTAAACACCAAATTATTATATGCTTACAGATATAGGATTTGCGCATATTTTGATTTCAGCGCCTTATAATAAATTTGTATATTTACTGAATAGAGTTGACACGAATGCCTTTTGGGCCCAATTCCATGGCCAGACATTTGGTGAGCATATCTAACCCACATTTTGTCATTCCATATGCCGTCCACCTCCTTTTCCACTATAATTATTTTATTTTCAAATTACAATTTACAATTAATAAAAGTGTTTATGTATTAAAATAAAAATTATGTCTTACAGGAGTTACCGATCCAATACTCGACACATTGACAATACATCCTTTGGTAATCTCCAGATGTGGCACAACAAGCGATGTGAGAAATACAATACTTCGTAGATTAATAGGCATTAAGTAATCAAAGAGCTCCATATAATCATGGTCGGATATTGCTTTCTGGCCCACCACTCCGGCACAGTTTACCAATACATTGATTTTGCCAAAAGTGTCGATAGTTTTTTGCACTAAACTTTTTGCCTGATTGTCGTCTTGGATATCAACCACCGCTTCGAGGACTGGATTTTTAGATACTTTACGGCATTCTTGGGCTACGAACGCGACTTTTTTCGGATCCCTTCCGTTGACCACCACTTTTGCTCCCAATTTTGCAAAGTGTACAGCAGTTCCCGCGCCTATACCCGAACTTGATCCTTTAAAGTACACAATATTTTTAATATTATTACAAATATATTATATTTAGTAATTTACCTGTAATTATGACAACTTTGTCAATAAAATTACTCGATGTAAAATTATATTTAATTGCATCCATTATAATAAGTTAATGATAATAATATTTAAATAACGATAGATTTCTATATTAATTTACAAAATGCTGGCAGTGATAACACATATATCTAACTATTGTTGACAATTATAATCAATTCTGTGTGAATTCCCATTGATTATAATATTCAGGATTATTTACATATTTTTTACAAATTGTTTTTATGGCATAATTTATTAAATGTAATCGTTTTCCTCACAAATCTAAAAATATTTTTCACATAACTTTAATTGCGAATTATATGATGTAAAGAATGGGGTAAACATTATAAATATTATTTTGGAGTTAAAAGAAATTAGGTTTTAAATATTTTATACAAATGTTTCAACTAGTATATATTATATTAAGATAATAGTTATATTATGTGCTGATATTTTTGGTAATACCAACTTGGTATTATTTCACAATGTGTGCATAATTTTGTAGTCGTATTAAAATACTATAAATAAAGCATAACTTACTATATTATAATAGCACATTGTAAAGCACTTTATATGAGTACTTATTACAACATAAGACTAATTTGTGAAATAAAAAACTATGAAAAATAATTATCAATTCATAACAAATATTAACAGTAAGTTTTATTGTCTAACCATAAGTTGTTGTAAGTAAAATATAAATGTACAATATAACACAATTTAAGTAGATATTTTATCATATTTATTTATATAAAATAAATTGAATTATTATAACAAATGAATATATTAAATATAATTTGTTGTTTGCATCAAAGTCTAGATCGGGGGCCGACAATAGCGCCGCCATCGATGGGCATTGATATCCCGGTAATAAAACTGGATGAATCGGACGCCAAGAACTCAATAGCCCGTACCATATCGTCCACATAACCGGGTCGTCCCATAGGATATGCCGTTTGACAAAACATTCTCACTAAATCTTCATTAAAATCTGTTCCGCCAATCATTGGAGTTAAGACAATACCAGGTCTAAAAATTGAGACCACATTATAGTGGATTTAATTTGAAATTAAATTAATGTTTTAATATTTACAGAATAGAGTTGACACGAATGCCTTTGGGACCCAATTCCATGGCCAAGCATTTAGTAAACATATCTAACCCACATTTAGTCATACCATAGGCCGACCACGTCCTTTTCCACTAATACATTTATATTATATATAAATATGAAATGATCTAAAAATATAAGTGATAACAAAATCAAATGCAATCATGACTTACGGGTGTTACCGATGAAACACTGGACACGTTAACAATGCAACCGTTGGTGGACTCCAGATGTGGCACAACAAGTGATGTGAGATAAACAACACTTCGCAAATTAATTTTCACAATTGTGTCAAAAAGCTCCTGGTAATCGGGTTCGTGTATAGCTTTCTGGCTTATAATACCCGCACAATTGACTAATACGTCAATTTTGCCAAAAGTGTCAATAGTTTTTTGCACTAAATTATTTGTCTGACTGTCGTCTTGCAGATCAACCACTACTTCGAGGACTGGATTTGTGGTCACATTTCGACACTCTTGGGCTACAGAAGCGACTCGTTTCGGATCCCTTCCGTTGACCACCACTTTTGCACCTAATTTCGCGAAGTGTACAGCAGTTCCCGCACCTATGCCTGAACTTGATCCTTTACACCAATATTGACAAATTATTAATAAAAATACAATTATTAATTTGTTTTACCTGTAATTATGACCACTTTATCAGTAAAATTACTCGATTTAATTTTATCCATTATTAATTAATTAATTACTGAAACTGACTTGTGAGATTAGTTTATATATTTATAAATTAATGTATAAAATATTTTTTAATGATTTAAATATTTATTCTTAATGTTAAACAACACGTTCTGATATGTATTGTGCAATAAATTGCATTTTTCCTGTGAATTAACTCTAATTCATATGAGATGTTTACATAATATCCACGAATTATGATTTTTACACAATTTGAAAATTAAATTATTTTCCTCAAGAATTTTGCACAATATATTACTTTTAGGTTTGAATATTTAATATTTTATGTTTAACACAATACTGTACTTAATTTTATGTTAATTTGTGATAATAATTATTAACAATTATTATTACTGTTATAAAATTAATATTTAAATATTAACAATACATGTATTATAAATAGACAAATAATATTCAAATTTAAACAAGAAAAATCATACGGTATTTAGTAAAGTTATATAAATCAATAACATTTGCTTTCATACCCACTCTGATAATACACGAGAGAAACTGTGGTTGCGGTCCAATTCTTGTGATCATTGCTTGAGTTAGTCTCGGTGTTCATGGCATTGCTTTTAGCCATTTGATTATACAGTAATAAATGTGATTCATTAGTAAAGTTGTCATTATGTCTGAAATGGTTGATCCATGGCTTTGGTTCAACAGGTGATAATCTGATGCCATTTACGGATCTAAACGGATCAATATATTGGCTCTGGTTTTGAGGCAATTGACGTCTTTTGCTGCACAATATAGTGGTAAAAATTGTCAATAATAACAAGAATTGAAACACATATTTAGTTGATTTTATTGAACTAAACATTATTATCACTTTTAAAAATTCAGTTAAAATCAGTTTTCAATCGATATTTATTTTTTATAATTATTTATGGTATTATTTTTATTAAACAATTATAAATACAAAAATTTTGAAGATTATTTAAATTACATAAACTTTTACCATTTCTTAAATACTTACAAACTTGGAAAACACAACTTATAAATGCAATATTCAATCAAATTCTTATAAAATTTTCATATAATTCATTTCAATTTTTAAATTTTTAAGAATAAATAATTGTTAATAAAATAGTAACTTCTAATTTGTTTTTATTAATCAGTCAATCAAAATCAACGTGTTTATAAGATTATCATAAAACTTGCATTTATACATGAAATAGTGTAATTTTATTTCTACATAGTACAGTAAATCATTTTATATAAATTTATTATTACGGTAATACAGTATAAACTTTAATTTGTTTTGTATTTTTATTATTAAGAATTTTATAATGAGGTGTTATTAAAAAATAAACGTTTAAATATCGTATAAGATACTGATTATTTTAAAATTGCTTCTACAAAATAAATAATGATGCTTTTGTTTTTTGTTACAATTAGTAAAACGTATTACAATAAATATTAATTTATAAATTTCTAATTGTAAATCAATTAATTTTCATAATTAATAAATAACGACATGAACTCAATGTATGATTTATTAACCGATTGTTGTGAGACAATATAGAATTGCTCTTCATTTCCCTTAATCTTCCTGATGTTAGTCTTGTTGTCAATCCTTTCGTCAATTGTCCCGTTATTATCATTATAAGTACCTTCTGTTGAATTAATGCCATTTTCAGTTAATAATTTCAATTGTTTTGCCCGATTTGTATTTGTTGTATGGAATAAGTCTAGAAAATACAGTATAAATGATTGGTACGATTTGATCGGAACATCTCTAATCGGTTTTTCTTGCGGCAATACTCCATCACTAATTTAATGATAAAAATAGTTTTAATAACTTTTGGTTATTTTAATAAACTAAAAAAAGTTTTAAAAAATTTATCTACACATAATTATCTCAAAAAATAACATTTTTGTGTATACTTGCGGTATTGTTTATAATACAAGATTGAAATACTAGTTGCTGTCCAATTATTATAATCATAATATGGTTTTGTCCGAGAATTCAAGTTAGCGTTTAGTTGTTTATTCGGCAAGTGATTGTCACTATCACTGTATTGATTGGTCCGTGACTTTGGTTCAACGGGTGATAGCGGTTCAACTGGGATGCCATCGATGTGTCTATAATTGCTATTATTTTGACTTTGAGGACGCCTTTTAACACATGTTATGACATTCAATACTGTGATTAGTAAACATATTTGTAGTAAATTTGTATTTGATTTAAGTGTATAAAACATTATTTGTAAAATCTTAATAATATTTATAATTGATATTTAAAACTAAGATATTTACAATAATATTTTAGTAAAATCAAATAAACTATGACTATTTCTAATCAGGTTTTTAATAATCACAGCAGTATTTAAATAGGAATCAAATTAATGACGAAATCATGAAATTTACCAAACCTAACATAATTTTTATATAATTTCCGATTGATTCATAATATTGCATTTGAAAAAATAAAAATAACTAAAACAAAATATACCAATAGTAATAACCAAGGGAAGGCAAGTTTAATATATTATCCCCATTTATAATGTATAATTTCTATACTGTGTACACCTGTTCTCGTACGCCTAGACCACTCCTGTATTCAATAATATTTTTATTTAGTTAGTAGTCAATCAAATTCAATGTCAACTTTTTATACAATTATGATTATAAATGTTTACAATGATGTAACTTTTTACAACTTACTTCAATAGTTGTAAAATTTGTTGCTTTTATTCCTAATTTACTATTTCATAGAACATTATCTTTTGTGTAGACATCGTCTGCTATGAATAAGTTATTCACAAAAAAATACTTATTATAATAGTTAAGTATTACTAATCGTAAACAAGTTAAGTAACCATATTTTGTAAATATGAAAACATTATTAATTATATGAATGGATAAATTGGAGAGTGAGTCTTCTTGGATTTAACATTAAACCAATGCATTCAATAGTTTTGACTATTTATTACATTGACTAATATTTTCTATTGAAAACTTCATTACACTTTGAGTCAATG